TCGCTTTTTGGTCCAGCCCATCACGGGCCGCTTGAAAATCCTCAGCCCAGTCTTCTAAGGTCTCCGAGCAATGATCAATCCATCCAGCAAGGGCCACCAAGTCTTGCGGCCAAGCCGCCGCCAGCTCACGCGCCTTGCGGACAGTGAGATCCAATCTCGGAGACAAGCCCTCAGCTTCAAACGGCTGAGAAACAATCTGCACAAGGTTAAGGGCAGCCTGCACTTCACTGTGATCAATGAATTTGTCAACTTGCGTGAGAATGCGCTGACTAGTGTTCCTGAGGTCGGTCATCCCCTGTTGCAGCCGCGCCCATCCCTCCCCAATGCGCACATCATCATCATCTTTGCACTTCGGGGGGGGGGGTCATAACAGGCACCCACTTAGCCTGAAGCTGCTTACCTTTAAGCCCTTTACGTTTTATGGGGGTGCCCGTTCTACTTTCTAACTCCAACTCCATCGCATCCGAGAAAACTTTCCAAGCTCGGTCCAGGACCCCCCAAACAAGCCCAACATCTTCATGGTCGGCCCTACGGTTCGCCTCCTCGGCCACGGCTCGGGCCACAGACCAGTCGATCGGGGGTGGGGTGGGGCCGGAGGGCAGTTCAACTGGGAGTTTCTGGTGAGTCTGGTACACCAACTGCCGCAGCTTGGTTGCCCCAGGCCTTAATCGAAGCTGTGCAGGGCGGTGGGGCCGCTTCGGCCACGTGCTGTCAACCTCGGTGGCCTGCGCAAGCTTGCAGAAGGCCGCCGACGCCATGAAATAATCGATCTTGGTGTTTGCTTTCGGCGTAGCGCACGTTTCAATACTGGGCTGCATTATCATCATGGAGGCCTTGCGAGGCATGCCAGACGCCTCTGCAACAACGGCCGAGAAATTCCAATCAGCAGCAAACACCGAGAGATGTACACCTTCTAAGACTGCACCTGCGTGTCTTAAAATCTGGAGGTTCCGCTTGCTCAGCCCCTCACTGGTGAACATGTACGCGCATCCCGCTAGTAGCTCGGGCCACCCTGGAATGTCGATCGTAACAAAGATCAGCCTGTGTTGGATAAGTACGCCTCTGGGCAACTTAGTGGGCCACCTCAGGCCGATAGACGTCCTTGCCAGTATAGCTACTCCAGCTGACGTCTGACCACCTGCACACTTGACCGAAGGGGCACAGAGCATGTTCCAGCCTAAACTCTTAGCAGTCGAAGTTCTCGCCGCCAGATCCTCTTCGGTAATACCTATTTCCTGCGCAAACACCACCAGAGCCTGTGTACTCCTCAGTCTCTTCTTGAGCGTGCCCCAGCTGTTACCATTATACGATTCAAACATGAGCGTCTGACCCTCCAGGTCGGCAGGGGCGGCGGCTTTAGGCGGTGAGCCAACTCCGTGGGCCGCGACGCGCAAACCAGTGCACTTGGGCCCCAGGTGGGGCCGCACACGGGCACCGTCAAACAAAACTGGTGGCTGCTGGGACTCAGGGGGCCTCAGACGCTCGGGCACACCTTTGTGCCTGACGACTCGCGTCTCATCGGCCTCGCTGAACTTGATACCCTGGCCGTACTGCAGCACGTCCAACAGATACCACACCGCCTACAGGTCCACGAACGTCTGACGTCTGAGCCACCTCTCGTCGCACGTAACCCCGAAGAGATGCACAGCGTCATCAGGCAAGGCTTGGGAAACTTCTGACCCTTCATCGTCAGTAGCCTGTCTCTGATGCAGGACCAGGAATATCTGGCTTGCGTCTGACACCCTCAGATCCCGTAGAGCCTGAGGTATAGTTTTTCTCCCTGCGTGAAGCAAAAGGTTTGGATGAGAAGCTCGCCATCGGCCTCGTCGAGCCATGCCACCTAGCCCAAGAAGGCGAGTGGCTAAAGCTGCGGCGCGGTCTTCGGCCTCTTGAGCTGAGCGCCCAACAGGGCTTGGGTGAAGGCCCGCTTGTCGCCACGGTCAGAAGCTTGACCAGGAAGTGACTGTACATGCTGCCTCTGAAGTTCAGCCACTTCAGCCCCCGCTGCAATCTAGCGTGCCCTGATCTCATCCGTCTTGACATTGAGCTATGCTCCTCCAGCTCTGTCGCGACCTTTTCCATCTTCGTAGTAGCTCGAGCCAAACGATGCCCCACATTGGTGTGCTGCGTGATACTCGGCTTCTTGCTCTCGATCTCCGAGCGCACCGCCTTGAGCTTGGTCTCAAGGAGCGTCCGTGCCTCGACCGTGTCGTCACTCTTGCCACAGGCCTTGATCGCACACTCGAGCTCGAGCACACGTGCCTGTAGTGGATCTTGTCCGTCGCTACCTCCTCCACCATTGGATTGTGTGCCCCCATGCTGACCAGGCCCTTGTCCAATAGCAGGGGCGCGGGCTGGCTTGGCAGCACCTCCGATGAACTGGTCCAGCTTCTTCTGCAACTCTGCCAGCTTGGACTCCAGTTTGGCCTCGCGCCTTGAGCCTGCAGCAGGAGGACGGCTGCGCCCAGGCTCCAGCCGAGGAGGGCTCCCGCCACCGTTGCCAAAGGACTTGGCGCGCTGCAGCACGAACGCGGGGGCCTTCGCCCCGCAGCGGCACCGCAGCCTGCACGCCCAGTTGCTGGTAAGCGCGCGACTCTGGCAGCCCCAGAAGGGTGTCTTGGGGCCGCGTACCACATCTGCACCATCCATGAAGGCCGCCGCACTGCTGTGCCTGCGACCGTGTCCCTCGGAGCGCCGAGGGTCGAAAGACTTGCACCACCAGGTGCTCACTGAAACGCTAGCTGAGGCAGCCAGGCCAATGGAAGGGGCTGCCCTTCCACCTCAGCCTTGAGCCTCGGGAGTCGGGACGGGAGGTAAACTCCGTCTTGAGCCAAAATGGCTACGGGGACGATGACAATGGCGATAACGGTGATTATGATGATGATGCTGATGATGATGACGATGATGATGATGACGATGACGATGATGACAACGATGGCGACGACGACGACGAGGATGATGATGCAGATGCTGGTGATGATGACGATGCTGCTGCTGATGCTGACGTTGCTGGAGCTGTTGATGATGATGACGACGATGATGCTGATGATCATGACGTCCACGATGATGCGGACGATGATGATGCCAAGGACGGTGATGGTGATGATGATGACGATGCTGATGATGATGATGACGATGGTGGCGACGACGATGATGATGATGACGATGACGCTGGCGATGATGATGATGCTGATGATGATGATGAGGATGATGATTATGGTTATGATGATGCCGATGATGCTGACGATGATGATGATGTTGATGATGTTGATACTGATGATGATGACGATGATGCTGATGATGACGACGACGACGGGGTGACGACGATGCTGCTGATGATGCTGATGATGACGACGATGATGCTGGTGATGATGATGATGATGATGATGATGATGATGATGATGATGATGATGCCGAGGATGAGGAGGACGAGCAGGAGCAGGACGAGGAGGAGGAGGAGGAGGAGGACTCGCTTGAACGAGGAGGGTCGCGGACAGCATTACTCTTTACCAGGTTTCGTAGGCCTCCCCCCTTCCAGCGGGGCCCCGCCAGAGCGAAGAGGGTATCAACAACCCGTACTATTTACAAGGCTTCGTTTCCTGAGCACCTGTCCTCCCTCCTCCTTTCTTTCGTCTGCCCTTTCGTGCGTACTTACTCGTTCGATGAGCTTCTCCTTCGTGTTGATGTTGTCGTACCCCATGGGTCCCACGAAACTGTTAATATTTTTTATGTGGGGAACTGCGTTTGCATAATTTTACCATTGATTGGACTGCAATCGATTCCACTGGGTTTGCACTTGATTGGCTTGCAACCGATTGGATTGCAACCGCTGGGGGGGCGCACAGGGCAGCGACGAGGAGGCGGCGACGGGACGGTGACGGCGACGAGCAAGGAACCGCCAGACCGACCCTCAGGCCAAGACGACGGGCGGCGACGACGCAGCAAGGGGGGGCGACGGCAAGGACGGAAAAACCAGACCGCCCCTCAAGCCCAGACGACGACGGGCGGCGACAGGGCGGCAACGGCGAGGAGGAGAGAGCCGCCAGACCGCCCCTCAGACGACCCAGCTAATACTAGGAAAGAAGAGAGAAGGCCCCCTAAGTGCAAGCACTGTTTGGGAAATGTCATGATGTTCAATGTCAATGATGTTTTTCATCCGGTGCCAGTGCTGGCGCCGGCGCCGGTGCCGGTGCCGGTGCCGGTGCCGGTGCCAGGGCTGGTGCCGGTGCGGTTGCGGGTGCGGGTGCAGTGCCGGTGCTGGCGCCGGCGACGGCGACGGCGCTGGTGCCCGTGCCGGTGCCGGTGCCAATGCCGCCGGCGCAGGCGCCGGTGCCGGTGCCCGTGCCGGTGCCGGTGCCGGTGCCGGTGCCGGTGCCTGTGCCGGTGCCGGTGCCGGTGCCGGTGCCGGTGCCGGTGCCGGTGCCGGTGCCGGTGCCAGTGCCGGTGCCGGTGCCGGTGCCAGTGCCGATGCCGGTGCCGGTGCCGGTGCCGGTGCCGGTGCCGGGTGCCGGTGCCGGTGCCGGTGCCGGTGCCGGTGCCGGTGCCGGTGCCGGTTGCCGGTGCCGGTGCCGGTGCCGGTGCCGGTGCCGGTGCCGGTGGGCGAGAATCGTTCTATAGTGCGCGACCCACCAGCGACCCACCAGCGACCCACCCGCGACCCACCCGCGATCGATCCACATTGGTTCGAAGAAAAGATCGGCGCCTGCGGTGGGCTCGTTCTATTGTTAATGTATGAAACTTTGGCGCCTGCGGCGGGCTTCTCCAGAGTCTCGCAGACTGCCGACGTCCCCACCGCCCCCTCACTCTTGTCCGCATCTGCGGGGTGCTGCGCATAATGTATATGCTACAGTGCGTGTTCGTTTGTATGTACACACATAGACACACGTTTTTGAGATATGGAAACAGATCGGTGTATAGATATGTATAAACATAGAGGCGTATATACAAATAGATGTAGAGAGAGAGAGAGAGGCAGAGTAGAAACAGATCTGGCCTGGGAGGGCATGCCGCGGAAGCCACCCGCTGGACAGGCCGGGGGCCCCGCTCCGAGCCGCCGCGCGCCCCGCCGGTGATCCCGCCCGCTCTCGGGTCGCGCAGGTGGTCAGGGGCGGATGGACTTGGCATCGCTCGGACATGTGCATTTTTCCTTCGGCGAGGACCATCGAGAAGCATCCTGGATCGTTTGGCGAAAAAGCCGCGCACGGAACCGAAAAAAACACAGGGAAGGGACGTCCGAGCGATGGCCAGTGGAGGAGGCGCCAGGGGGAGGCGCGGCGGCGAGCCAGGGGAGAGCCGGCGCTCCCGAGACAGGCCGGCGGCGGGCGAGAAGGGGAAGTGTCGGGCTCGAGGTGTTGGGGCGTGTTCGTCGGTTCTCGGCGGCTGTCGTGCCACTCACGGGATGCGTTGCAGCGGCTGCGCCTCGCCGAGAGCGTTACGGGGTGCGCGGATCGTCCTGAACTAGGGGGCCACATGCGGGGAGGGTGGGGTTCACTTCGTTCGGGAGCTCCCGAGCGAAGTGAACCCCACCGTCCCCCTCAGAAATCGTGGGGGGTAGGGGTAGGGTTTGCATCTGGCCCCCTATGAACGGCCGCCGGAGTCCCGAGTTATGACCCAAGAACCAAGTTCGGTGGCACGCCCGGGGGAAGGGAGGAGGAGGAGAAGGCCTTCTCAGAAGGCGGCGGGGCTTCTCGGAAGCCCTCTGGCGCTCCGAGAGGTTTTCTACGTCTTGGGGAAGGGCTAGAAATCAGCGAGCGAAGAACGGTATAAAATAAACTTTCCCCCGTCGGGGATACCTGCCCCTGGGCGGCTGGAAAGTTTCTACCCCTACGATGCCACCGTAAGGGTATAAACTTTCCAGCCGCCCTGGGACAGGCGCTCCCGACAGCGAAAAAGTTTATTTTACACCGTTCTTCGCCCGTTAAAGAAATGTTATCAGAAGGCCGAGGGACTTTCGAACGTGCTGAGAAGGCCCGCCCCTTGTCACGTCGCCTTTCCGGCTGCTCACCGCGCGCCCGTGTGCCACGCAGGCGCGGGGAGCAGGGCCGATCGCAATCGGCCGACTGACGCGCTGCGAGCTTCCGCGGCCACGGGCCTGCCTAAGTTAGGAGGGGAAAAACACACAGACACAATTAATCGTCGATCCCCAAGAAAATATAGGAAAATATGGGAATTGGGCGGGAAGACAAAAACCCAGAAAATATAGGAAAATATGGGGACTATTTTTATTTGTGTGTATTTATTTGTGTGTCTTGGGACCCCTTCACTAAGACAGGAGGGGGAGGGAGGGGGAGGAGGCAGGTATGAGGTCATCGGGTACGATAGAGCACACCTCGGTTCGTCAGTTGCTGGCTTCCGCCTGGTTCTGGGTGTCGCTATGGTTTCTTCGTGTTCTCTTTTCGGCCCCTTCCTGGAGGAGTGGACGTGGGAGTTGTGGTCTGCTTGACCTATCCGTTCTTGATGCATTGAAGGGAGGCAGGCAGGCAGGAGGGGAGGGAGGGAGGAGGGAAGGCAGAACGAGGGAGGGGATGGAAGGAGATGGGAGGAGGAGGAGGAGGAGGAGTCAGGAGTGGGGGGGGGTTGAAAGCTGGCAAACGAGTTGGCTCGCGACGGCGTGGTGTGATGCGACGCTGCATGCGAGGCTGGTCTGTGAGCCCGCCCACACTTTTTCAACGGCAGTCTCTCCATGCAGCCCGTGCTCGCCCTTGAGCTGGACAGCCTCAGAGTGCAGAATCCAGGTACCGCCGCTGACCAACCAGCCACAACACTTGCCAGGCCCTGGGGGAGGGAGGAATTTTCGGGCATCCTGGGAAGGGGCGCGACTCGAGGCTGGCACGTCCCAAGAGGGGAGGGAGGGAGGAGGAGCCACTCGAGGGGAAGAAGGAGGGGGAGGAAGAGCAGGAGGAGGAGGAGGCCTCGAGGGAAGGAGAAGGAGGAGGAGGAGGAGGAGCGCCAGGAGGAACTCGCCAGCGCCTGCGGGCCGCGCGTTGCCGACCGACGGGAGGTGAGAGCTCCCCCCCGGCTCCTCGCGGGCGTGGACCTCCGCCACGGGCTTCGAAGTGGCGGCGGCGGCGGCAAGCCGGCAGGCCCGCATAGAACATACAGTCGGACCGAGGTATAAGATCGAGGTCGGTTCGGGTATGGTACTCTAATGTTAAGTCGGGCATGCCCCTCTGCAGGAGGAATAGTCAAGAATAGTACAACAGATAGTATGGGACAATGTTTCGTTGTTTGTGGTTATGTGGGAAATGTATTATGTTTCGCCCAATTTCCACCTGTAGGAGGACATGCCTGAGCTAACCCTAATGTCCTTCGTGAGTGTCGGATGTTCGTGTGCCTCCTGGGAGAGGGTGCCCTCGAATGTTCTTCAGCTTGGCCGGCGTAGGGTCTCATGCTCTTGAAGGATATTCTCCTTGCCCAGGGCCGACCGGGTACGCCAGAGGCGGAGGCCAGTCAGTGAAGTGCGAGGCATGGACCAGGCAGGCGCAGCTCTGCCGCAAGACCCTTCCAGCGCACGGCGTAGACATCGTAGGGCAGTGCGCCAGTGTCGCAGCAGCTGTGTGTTCATGTCTGGCATCGGCTCTCCCCACAGCCCCCAGCGCCGCTCCAGGAAATTCGCGCGGACCTCCGAGAGGTTCTGTGAATGCAGTTGAACAGTATCATATTTCGCCTTGTGTTTCGTTTTCTTATTATTATTATTAGTATTAGTATTTCGATGATGATTATTATTATTATTACTATTATTCTACTCGGGCTCCTGGGTCCCAGGCCCCAGGACTGTCAGACAACGGTTCAGCGGGAACGCTGGTCCTTGGGAATTGGGGTTCTGCCGGATTCAGGTGGCCCTGGGATCCATCACCGTTCACTTAGGTGTTCGATCATGGACGCCTTGTTGGGGGCAACCATCCAGCTTGCGCGTCGAAGACCGCTGGAAACTGCCAACGACCGCCAGAAACCGCCAAAGACCTTGAGAAGTCCGCCGAAGACCGTTCGGAGACCGCCGACGACGGCCCAGGGCCGATGGGTAACAAGGGGTCCACGGCCGAACACGTAGCTTTTCCCTCACGACCCGTTTTCTCAATACCAGAGACGGCGGCGTGAGCGCCGACACTGACGGCGGCAGTGATGCTGCGCACGCGGGCCTGCGCGACGACTTTCCCACCCCCCCGCAGCGGCAACGGCCTCGGCATCATCCCGAAGGCGTCCCAGGGCAGGGTGAAGTCCTACGCGATGTGGACGGCCGCGGACGGCGGGGGCACTCGAAGAAAAACAAACTGCGTAACATTAAATGATCGGAGCCCTGCGCGATTTCTTGGATCGGCGCTGGACCCCTGCCGCGCGCCAGGGAGGGGGTCTAGCGCCGATCCAAGGCATCCTCGCGGAGCTCCGAGAGTTTCTGTGCATCGCTGTCTCTTCTGAGGAGGGAGGGGGGAGGGATGGAGGTGGGGAGGCAGAGGGAGGAAGGGAGGAGGGAGGTGGAGAAAGAGAGAGAGAGAGAGAGAGCGAGCTGGAGGGAGGGAGGAGGCAGGGATGGACTGGTCAGCCCCGACTCTCTACTTGTGGGAACCAGAACCAAGAAAACCAATAATTCCCAGAATGCATGACCAAATATTCGTTGGCCCAAGGGCCCGCGACAACGCATCTGAAATCGCAAATCGAAAAAAAAACATGTTTCCCAGTGACACATGACCAACATTATTGCTGAACTGTGCGAGTTTTGGGGGCAGGCCGCACGCGCGCGCGCCATGCACGTTAAAACTGCGCATCCATCCAACGCCTCACGCACCACGCGCGAGTGCAAAAACCCACACGAGTATTAATGTCTCACGCCAGCCAGCCGCAATTCAATGCAATTCACATGTCACGGGCGCCCGCTGCGCGGCTTATGCAGCGCGAGACTCCAAACGATCTTAGCGCCCTAGATGTTTTTGTTTCGAACCGTGCGCGGGGGAGGAGAGGGGGGGGAGGGGGTGGAGGAGGAGGGGGAGGAGGGAGAGGAGGGGCAGGAAGTGGGGAGGAGGGGGAGGAGGGGGAGGAGGAGGAGGAGGAGGAGGGGGAGGGGCAGGAGGAGGAGGAGGAGGAGGAGGAGGAGGAGGAGGAGGCCTATTGCCCCCTGCCCCAAAGCGAGATGCGGCCGCGTCTCGCTTTGTGGCCCACTTGGGGTCCTCTTGGAGCCCTCTTGGCGGCCTCTTGGGGCCCTCGCCTTGCGCCCCTCGCGGTTGCCCTCGTCGAACTGCTTCTTGATGGCGGGCACCGCTTTCATGCCCGCATCCACTCCTCCTCCTTCTCCTCCTTCTCCTACCTCCTCCTCCTCCTCCTCCCTCCTCCTCCTCTTCCTCCTCCTCCTCTTCCTCCCCCCCCCAGGTGGTCCGGTGGTCACGTGGTAAGGTGGTCAGCTGGTAAGATGGTCAGGTGGTGTGGTGGTAAGGTGGCAAGGCGGTAAGGTGGCAAGGTGGTTCTAGGGCTCTGAGGGGGGAGGGGGGCAGTTTACTTTATCCTCTAGAACTCCCTGAAAAATGATGCCACGCCAATGGATATCTACACGCGTTTTCTCGTGTCCTTAAGCGTCCGTTTTCTCTTTGTTGGTCGCTGACGAGGGGCCGACAGGCCCTAAAATAGCTAAGGTGATAAGGTGGTAAGGTGGTCAGGTGGTAAGGTGGTCAGGTGGTCAGGTGGTCAGGTGGTCAGGTGGTCAACTGGTCAGGTGGTCCGGTGGTCCGGCGGTCCGGCGGCCCGGTGGTCAGGTGGTCAGGTGGTCAGGAGGTCAGGTGGTAAGGTGGTGAGGTGGCAAGTTGGTCAGGTGGTAAGGTGGCATGGCGGTAAGGTGGTAAGGTGGCAAGGTGGGCAGGTGGTCAAGGGGTGAGGTGCTAAGGTGGTAAGGTGGCCAGGTTGTCCGGCGGTGAGGTGGCGAGGTGGGCAGGTGGTCAAGGGGCGAGGTGTCAAGGAGGAGGAGACGGCAGAGGAGAGAGGAGGGGGAAAAGGAGGAGGAGGAGGAGGAGGAGGAGGAGGAGGAGGAGGGGGGGGAAGGAGGAGGAGGAGGAGGAGGAGGGAAGACAGGGGAGGAGGAGGAACAGGACGGAGGAAGTGGCAAGACGATGGAGGCTCGAAACCGTGCACAAGCAAGCTGTTCTACGACGCCCCTGTGCAGCACTTCTGCACAGGGGGCTGTTGGGCGAGCCAGGGTCGGGAGAAACAGCAAGGACGTAAGCCACCGTGGGCCTGAGAAGGGAAGAAGAGGATAATGAGGAAAGCGGGGGGCGGGACGGCAACGGGGAGAGGGGGGGAAGTGGAGAAGTACAAGGAGGGGTAGGGGCCTGTCTAACAGAGGGGGCTTGTGTAACAGAGGAGCGCGTCTAACAGAGGAGCGCGCCTAGCACCACTGAGATGTTTTTAATCAGCTCGGCGAGGGAGTCCGTCTAACAGAGGGGGGCTTGTGTAAAAAGAGGGGCGCGTCTAGCATCACTGATATGTTTCAATCAGCTGGGCGAGGGGGCCTGTCTAACACAGGAGCAAGTCTAGCAAAGGAGCGCGTCTAGCTTCACTGAGATTGTTTTAATCAGCTGGGCGAGGGAGCCGGTCTGACAGAGGTGCCTGTGCAACAGAGAAGCGCGTCTAGCACCGCTGATTGTTTTGTTTCATTGGCTTGGCGAGGGAGGCTGTCTAACAGAGGAGGGCTGCGTAACGCAGGGGCGCGTCTAAAAGAGGAGCGCGTCTAGCACCGCTGAGTTTTTGTTAATCTGCTCGGCGAGGGAGTCTGCCTAACAGAGGTGGCTCGTGTAACAGTGGAGCGCGTCTAGCACCGCAGAGGTCTGTCTAGTCAGCGTGGCGAGGGAGCCTGTCTAACAAAGGGGCGCGTCTAGCAAAAGGAGCGCGTCTAGCACCACCAAACCTAAGAGGGGAAATGGCGTACCAATCGCAAGATTGGTACGCTATTTCCCCTCTTAGGTTGCTCGCGCTTGCGTCGTCGTTTGCCCGACGACGCCAGACCGCCAGACCACCAGGCCACCAGACCACCAGGCCACCAGACCACCAGACTACCAGACCACCAGACCACCAGACCACCAGACCACCAGACCACCAGACCACCAGACCACCAGACCACCAGACCACCAGACCGCCAGACCACCAGACCACCAGACCGCCAGGCCACCAGACCGCCAGACCACCAGACCACCAGACCACCAGACCACCAGAACACCAGACCACCAGATCACCAGACCGCCAGACCACCAGACCGCGAGACCACCAGACCACCAGACCACCAGACCACCAGACCACCAGACCACCAGACCATCAGACCGCCAGACCACCAGACCACCAGACCCCCAAACCACCAGACCACCAGACCACCAGACCACCAGACGTTCCAGAACGCCCAAGAGCACTGCCCACGAGAATATGTAGCGAAATCGGCGCCTCGGATTAGGGGCGTTGGCCCCGACCTCTGGGGGGCCCCTGGGAACGCTGCAGCCGAGGAGCCGAGGGGAAAATTTAACGCGAGAATGACTTGCCCTGCGGCGCCTCGGAACACGAGCCCTAGGGGCCCCCCGGGAACGTTGCAGCCGGCCGCCGCCGCCGCGCCGATGTCTGAAAACGCACGCGTTTTCAGACATCGCCCGCGCGCAATCGCTGGCGGCGAGGCAGCGGCGGCCAGCCAGGGGGGCGAGGAGGAGGTTGAGGAGGATGTGGGACGTTTTTCCTCAAACGGCTTTGAAAAAACACGAGGGGAAGGAGGAGGGAGGGGAGGGCAGGAGGGGAGAGAGGGGCCCTGACCCCACCTTCCCAGGATGTCGGAGTCCCGGGCGCAGCCCCAAGGCAGCTCCAGGAATCCAAACGATCGCCGGGGGCCTCCGGGAAACTGAAACGCGAAAAGTCCCGGGCAAGTCCCGGGGGTTAACCAACAATTCCCGAGGGGCCTTACCAATAAATATATGTCTTAAAACAAGACAGAACTTTTTTGGTCAGGCCCCGCTGGAATTCTTGGTCAAGCCTTGGGGGTCGCCGAGTCCCGGGCGAGTCCCGTGCCGCTGGGCGCCCCTCGGGGGCACCGGGGGCCACCTGGAGAGCACCGATGCCCTCCAGGAGGGCGCTTTCCTGATCATGCCGACTCGTCCTCTCATCCACCTCGTGTCGTCCGTCTTTTTTTCGTTGTTATTGCGTGCCCTCTCTCTCTCACATTATATATCTCTCGCCTCTTCTTCGCGTTCTCTTTTTGCCCAGCCCCTCTTCATAATCACCCTATCTCTATCTTATTGTGCTGTTTCTCTTTCTCTCTCTCTCTCTCTCTTTCTCTCTCTCTCTCTCTACATATATAATCTCTCGATCTCCTCCTCCCTCCTCCCCCATCCCATCGCTCCTCCTCGCTCCTTCTCCTCCTCCTCCTCCCCCTTGTCCTTCTCCTCCTCCTCCTCCGCCTCCCCCTCCTCCTCCTGCTCCTCCTCCTCCTCCTCCTGCCTCCTCCTGCCTCCTCCTCTCCTCCTCCCTCCTCCTCCTCCTCCTCCTCCCCTCCCCTCCTCCTCCTCCTCCTCCATCTCTTCCTCCTCCTCCTCCTCCTCTCCTCCTCCTCCTCCTCCTCCTCCTCCTCCTCCTCCTCCTCCTCCTCCTCTTCCTCTTCCTAGGGGGGGGGGGGGGGCTCGATCGGAGTTCCCAGGAGAGCGATGGTGCAATTGGGGCCCTCCTGGGGCCCCCGTGGACCCATGGAGGTTTTTTGGGGCAGTCGGAGGGGCCTAGGAGGGCCCCGAAGCGAGATGCGGCCGCATCTCGCTTTGTGGCCCCCTTGGGGCCCTCTTGGAGCCCTCTTGGCGGCCTCTTGGCGGCCTCTTGGGGCCCTCGTGGACCCTTCCCTGGGCCCTCTTGGGCGCTTTGGGGGCTCTCTTGGGGGCATCTCGGGGCCCCATTTGGATCGGCCACGAAGCGAGATGCGGCCGCATCTCGCTTTGTGGCCGTCTTGGGGCCCGTCTGGGGCCCTCTTGAAAACCTCTTGAAGCCCTCTTGAGGCCGCTTGGGGCACCGTTTGGATTCCCCCCAGGGTCTTCGGAGGGGCCCAAGAGGGCCACGCATCGAGACGCGGCCGCATCTCGCCCTGTGGCCCTCTCGGGGCCGCTTGGAAAGCCTGCTGGGGCGCTCTCGGGGGCCTCTCGGGGCCCCATCTGCATTATTCCCAGTGCCTTTGGAGAGGCCCATTGCCCCAAGAGGGCCACCGAGCGAGATGTCAGATGCGGCCGTATCTCGGTCTGCGGCCCTCG